CGTGACATAGCAGGGAGCAGCTAATTCAGCGCCCAGGGAGCAGTGCTTGGGGACGGTACCTTGCTCAGGGTATTTTAGTGGTGACTTGCTGGTGGGGGATTCGAACCTGCAATCTTTCAATTACAAGTGCGCTACCCTAACCATCAAGCCACCACTGCAATGCTTGTCTCTTCTGCTTGCCAGCCTTTTAGTATGCTTAATTTTGTTTTTGTTTTTTTGTTTTGTTTTTTTGTACACTTGATTTTTTCCCATCATTTTTGGCATTTCCTTATTGATAGCAAGCAGGGTTCCCAAAGTCAGATGTTTAAAAATGCCTACACAAATCATTTGTCATTTAATTTAATGTCAAAATTGCTACTGAGATAGTAATCACAACAAGTGAGTGATGCTTTTTACTGCAGCACAAAATACAGCAGCAGCTCAGGAGAAAAAAAAACATACAGGAAGCTAAATAGCTGCAATCAATATGCAGCCTCTGACTTTATACTTACTGTAATAGTAGAATAACAGAGGAGTATTAAATGGTGAGATTACAGCTAAGAACACAGAGCCGTCAGCTATGAGACTTTTAGCCTGGGAGTCACATGATGTAGAGCAGGGGTACCCAATCTTATCCGCAAAGGGCCGGTGTGTATGCGGGTTTTCGCTGCAACTCCCTGATTAGATTACTAATTAGAGGACTCCAACTCCGGTCCTGGAGAGCTACTATCCAGTAGGTTTTCTGTCCCACTTGGCTTCTGATGAGCCACACCTGCTCCTGGTATTTACCTGAGAACAGGTGTGGCTCATCAGAAGCCGGTTATGATAGAAAACCTACTGGATGGTAGCTCTCCTGGACCGGAGTTGGAGACCCCTGGTTTAGACTATATCCTTTTTGCTAAAACCCATCCCCCCCCCCCCCACTGTTTTGTTCTGTCTAAATCTTGGCTTGTCTGAGCAAATTCTGCAACGTCTTTTATTTATTTGATCAAAATCAGAATTAGAATCAGTTTATTTGCTGAATGTACATAGTATACAGGACCTGCTGATACAGTGGAGTAGAAATTTATTATAAATAAATAAACAACAATAAATCAAACAACAACACCAATAGAAAAACAACGACAATAAACGGGGTTAACTGTATGAATGTAACACAGTCCATTGTAGTGTTCCTTCGAGATTATTGAGAAAGTTTATGGCCTACAAGAAACAGTTGTTAAGGTGCCTGGTGGTCCGGGTACTGATTGAGCGGGACCTGCGGCCCGAGGGGAGCCGCCTAAAGAGGGAGTGGGTCTGACACTTTCTGTCCATTTTAAGATTTTAACATCCATCCATTTTAACACTTTGTTGTGCTGATCTAGCTGCCTGATAAGTTCATAGTTATTCTTACATAATTAGCTTCAATTTAAAGCTAACTGGGGCTATCGCACTTGGGGAGGGGCCACTCAGTCGCTCCCCCAAATTACTGAAAATCTGAACATAGTTACTACGTTGTGCATGTTTTTATTTAAGCCCCATGCGGGAGGCACTGTGGCCCTGTGCGTGCTCATCGCTTGCTGGCCAAATGGAGCAGCGAAGCACTTACATAAACACAATATTGTTAGCCTACAGTAATTAGCCTGAAATGTTACTAGTCCACTGGGAATTCACCCAACTCTCCAGCATCGGCTCAGGGAAAAAATCATGTTTTGTTAGAAAAATGCCTAAGGGAGTTAGCGCTTTAAAATTGTAGATGATGTTTCAAATAAAACAAATACAGCAGAACGTCAGGAAAAACTCCTCCCACCCCCTCTGCAACTGTGTAAGCCCACAAGGCAAGTGTATTCACATATATATAGGCCCTTAATTATGGTTATTCTTCTTTTTTCAAGATAAAACTGCAGGAAGGATAACAGAAATCACTATTATTTGAAAGAGTGCGACCTTTTATTACACCTAATAACATTAGTGAAATCAAATGTTCAACTGCTTCACACAAACAAATACCAAGGGCAGACAAAAATGTTTTAAGATGTAAACTGGGCATCTCTGAAGATGCTTTGGGCTGTTGTGTCAAAATCTTAAAACGGTGGGTGGTGTGTTCCTCCGAACAGATTGTGTGTGAAAATGATGTGCAGGCGAGCCAATAATTGTGATATGCTAGAGCAAAACGCTTTAGATAATCCATGACAATAAAGAGATTTACTGTGTTATTTTTAGTAGAACACGCTACATAAGACAGATGTGTATCATATATGATTTTTTTTACATTATTCAAAGCTGTTTCGCTGGAAAAGTCTGAGTCTGGAAAAGTAGTGGATTGGCAAAATCTCTCACTCATTTTGCAATACATGTCACATTCAGAATGTATTAATAAAAAAAATGTCATACATATTTTATTTTAAATACTGACATGCATGGACAGAAAAGAACTGAGAAGTGAATCCAGATAACTGCATTAGAGGTATGAAGCACCTCACTGAATGGTGACATTTCTGAGCCATTTACCTCTTTTGTGAACAACTTTAAAAATCAATAAAAGAAAATATTTTTCAGCTGAACAATACAGCAGAAATGTCAGCGACAATTAGCTGGTTCAATGGTTGCTAAAGGAAAGAATGGCTTGCTGTGAAAAAGCCTTTAGTTGGTGCTTAGATTTATATAAAATAATAGGAACAGACAAACACAGAAATGATAGAAAGAAGTAAAGGTAAACATGATGACATTATTATGTTTCTGTGTATTATCATCAGCATTGTCATTAACACCCTTTATTAATCTTACACCAGTATCTAGTGTCCGCCCCCTATTCTGTAAGAGCCATTTTACTGTTTTACAGCTCTTGTTAGAACATCAGATATAACATGTCACCTGGACAAGAAGGTAGTCCCCTGTTTTACACTTCAGTAGTAATCAGATTTTTGACGGGCATCTGTCATCCGTCTTTGGAGGTATAATGTTCTCAAAGTCTAATATCTAGAGAACAGTGATTTCTCAAATAAAAAGAACAAACAGAAAACATCCATTTATTGTTGAGTAGAGACGAGGAATATACAACTTACAAAAATCACAAGTGTAAAAATAATAAATTCTAAATAAACACTGATTTGAATGTAATAACATCATTGGACTGACAAATCACACTAAATCATGCTTAAAAACATGTTTCAAAAAACAGTAAAATCTAATAAGTACCAAATGGGGTGAATGATTTATTTTATGTTTACAAGACAATGGGGACGGAATAACCATGGAAAACCTTTAAGGCTAATTTCGGACTTGTCATCATTCTTAAAGATAGTAATGCATCTTGCTGCAGAGAATTGACCAGTTATTCACCCCTAAATAAAGCAGCAGCGTCAAAATGCAAAAGAACTGAAACAATTACCAACAAGGACATTGTGGGGAGTGATGCAGGTCACCTGACTGGCTTCTTCAGTACTTAGTCATGCTGATGGTAGGAGCACATGGCCAATAGAAATATGGCTGTTGTTTCTTCTCTTTAAAGACAATTTCAGTGCATCACACCTGACTGAACATATACCAGTGGAAACATATTATATTACACGTTCTTCTACTAAGAAAGCATTTCAAAAATCATTGAAATACTTCTGGAACATTATATGAGCACATTCACTCAAGCTAGAGTCATAACAGTGACACATGAAGAAAATATAATATAGTTGTAGAGCATACATACAGTATAGCTAGGCAGAGAGGCTAAGTGGCATCCCGGTATTGGCCGTAGTGTGTGAGCATGTGCCCTGTAGTGAACTGGATGCTATAATAAATAATAACCTCCAGGTTTGTGAGTTGATTTGTGTATGAGTTTCCTCTAGGTACTCCACTTTCCTCCCACAGCCAAAAGAAATGTTTTTTAGATGTATTGGTCTCTTAAATTGTGTGTATAGGGTCCCGTGTGCACAGATGCAGACTGGCATTTATTGTCTTGCACCTTTTCCTTTCTGGCACACGCCCCAAGCTCCCTGTCATAAGGCATTGACGAATCAATTATATTTTCACTGTCTGTGTCCATAACGCTTAGCATGCTACCCTAATTGGTGACAGAAGTACTCCATAAAAAGCTAACCCATTTGTGGTATGATCATCATTAAAAACTATATAAGTTAAATCCTTCTTAATAACACAAAATACGAAATGTGATTGTTTGAGAATATTTTCTTGTTTGCTGTAGTCTTATTTTAATGCTATAGAGAGTGTTTTTCTCTCAAACTATCGAAAGTGGATTCGTATTACGCGGCCTTTTCTCCGTTTCTGTTTTGGGACACTAGATGGAGCCTTCGGAAGTATGAGAAGTTACGGAAATCTTATCCAAGCGCATCTCAACCGGCATGCATTTGCTAAAATGCCACAATGGCATTTAGCCCTTCTAATACCTCTCTAATGAACTTACACGATTAGCATAATTATACTACGAATAATACAGCGTTGTTGGAAGCCTACTAAAATTACGATTCGCATCTGTAGGATATTTTAAATTAGATATTTAATGCCACCAAATAATTCCTTTATATTATAATTATTTAGCCCGTAACTTTTATATCTTTAACACTGCACAACAGAGAACTACAAGGAGACGTGTAGTACTTAAATTATTACATATAATACAAGTTATGTTTACAATGTAATAAATGCGTAATACCCGAGTTAATATCTCTGATTTAATCTACCTATAGAGCGCATAATTTTTACAAACTACACAAAGAAAAATTGATACCTTTAATACCTTTCAATACACATAGTCAAGCCGTTTTGGACTCCTATTTCATTACAGTATACATTCAGCAAACGGGCTAGATGTTGCCTATTAAAACGTAAGTCCAGAAAAAAAACGTCATAATTTCCGCTTAGTCCAAGTAAATAAGTGTCAAGATAGTGGAGTAATTTAAGAAAGAGACAATCAATGCTTAAAATTTCGTTTTGCCGTATGCTCGCTATTACTTGATAAAATAACGTGTTTTGGAGACAAGAACTGACGTCACCTGGTGTCTTTAAATATTTATCGTCGGCGCCTTGCTGCTGCAAAGGCATAGTTGCAAGTTTGAGAGAGCAAGATCAGAAACGGAACAGCATCCCAGTGTCCTGCGAGACATTAGAAGGCTTAAAACTGACAACACTGGCCATGAAATGCCTAACTGGGAATTCTGAAGTGGATATTCGGAAGTTCATAACCTGGACAGTAATGTAATATATATTACACTGCGACTTAGTTTTTTCAAAATAAGGAATTGTAAAAGACAGAAAAATATTTGCAGGACTGTTTTGAATTGCTAAACTCGTTTATTTATTATGATCTGTAATGTTCACTTTCCAGGAATGTTCACGTGGTGTCCCTGCGCTATATAACCGTGGAACCAAGTCAAAGCGACTGTCTTAAACTCTGAAAAGGCGATGCCTTGGTGGCAGATGGCATGTGGCAAATCAGTTACGCCAAGACTCATTTTTTATATTGCACGGAAAAAATGTGATCAATTTGTTAAGGCAATGTTAAATTGCCGAATCTATCGCGTTGCCATAACTGGGCTTTGCAGTTACCTATAAGATCCCTTCGGAATGTTGCTGCATACTACAGACGTTCCGGGAACACACAGAAGAACTGGGATTGTCCAAAAGGAAAAACATGCAATCTCATAATCCATGGAGAAATGGCATATAGGTTCCTTACCAGCCGAGTCGTGCCATCTTCAAATAGGCTTACCAGGAAATTTCTTTTCATATTCACACTTTCTTTATCCTTCACGTACTTGTGCTACAGTCTTATATTCTGTTCTGATACCATCATGCACGGCCAGAGTGATGAACAGCACAGATGCCTCCTTTTCCAGAGTGTCGGGAGCAAAAAAATACTGCAAAAATCTAATTACTGCACGTTGTCCGTTGATCCAAAGGGGACCCGGGATACAACCTCAAAGGCAGATTTGACTCGCTTAGAAACTATACAAATAAACAACCAAAGCAAAAACTTTCCAGCTGTACCCTTCCTCGACAGTCCTCGGGGTTTCGGCGCTTTGGATCGAAAGATAACCAATAACAACACCGGCTCACCAAAATTTGGGAACAAAAAGTTACCTAATGCTATCATTGTTGGCGTGAAGAAGGGGGGCACTCGGGCAGTGTTGGAGTTCATTCGGATCCACCCAGATGTGCGAGCAGTCGGCACGGAACCGCACTTCTTTGATAGAAACTATGATAGAGGATTAGACTGGTATAGGTAAGTAAACCAGCGCCCCCTCGTCATTTTTTTTATTATTATTTTGTGTGTAAGCAGGAGATATCTCTTCTTTATCTATTACTGTACGATTGAAATAGAACCGTTCAAGGTGCGAAATGTTAACGTGCGTAAAAACGAGTTTGAGGGGAACTGCAGCAAAATCGAAAAGCAAAATTCATTTACGCCTTAATTACTGTTTCGGAATGAGAGATTAAAATTTTATATGAGCCACTGTAAATCCCAAGTATAAAATGTGATATCCATGGTTTTTAGACAATAGAGTTTATCACATCAATATATTTGGAACCTAGTTGATGTGGTACTACTGTATATGTGTGTACGTGTTTTTCTTTTTTTATACTGTAGGCCTATGTCTTTCACTTAAAATTTCCATCGACGAGAAGATTTACTGGTAAATTCGAATGTAAAACTAGATGTAAAAAGTTAAACGGAGCTGTTCGCAATACCTACCTGAACATTAAAAGTAAGAACTTTAACTCGGGTCGTACCTTGTTCATATTGGATATGTCTGGACACAATATACAAATAAAGCGCATCACAGAAGCATCACCAGTAGAACCCAAATGAAAAAGATAGCAGATAGCAAGGTGCTGTAGTAGAGACATCTATATCATCTATAGAGACATTTATAATAATAGGCAATAAAGTGAAAAGTCACACAAAATTCATTAGATCATGTTTTGTCACTGATGTCAGGGTAAGACTGCAAACTTTCCTAGATGTTTTTTTTTCTCCTATATTCTGTTGTGTACGTTCGCTAATTTATAAAGTTTATAGGCCTAAATATATAAACATACACATTTTACTATCAAGGTCTGCAACATGTATTGTAGATATAATAATAAAAATAATTATTATAATAATTATAATAGTAATAATATAGTAGGTTGAAGAATATGCTGTATCTTTATTAATATGCACTTGAGTACAGCTGATTCAGATGCTTTTGGAATATTCATTTGTTTTTCCTGCTGAAAGCTTTTAGAAGTGGATTCATCTGCTGTCTCACATCCAGCTTTGAGACTATTATGCACAAGCAGAGTGAAGAAAAGCACAGGTGCCTCTTTTTCTAGTGTGTTTCATGCATGAAATTGGGAAAGTGGTGTGAAAGTGTGAAAGTATACAGTACCAGCGCTAGATGCAAATAATATGGATACATGTAGTCCAAAGTCTTCTATTTGCTGTGAGCTGAAGTATTTTTTATTGTTCCTGCAGTAAAGAACCAAATAAGTAATGGCATCTATATGTCACCTTTACCTGACTGAGGTAAATTTAAGGCTGTAATATAAGAAGTTTCCACAGTAATAGCCTGGTGGTGTGTATTGCCATTGAAACACACTAGACTTTTCTGATGTCCATGGTTTACAAATGGGCTATATAGTGCTGACAAGGCATTGCTACCTTTAGTCTGTGCAATAAGCTCTGCTGCAGAAAGGCTGTAGTGTTTGGCCAGAGATAGTTGGACAAATGGAATAAATAGAAGCAAAGGCTGGTATCTTCTTGTATCTGGGATGTTGATAATGCAGAAATTTACGTGAAAGACTTGTGTCTAAAATGTATACAGGGATTTGGTGCCCTGCACCAGTGTATGCGTATCTGAAACACTCCCTGTGATGCTCTTTGAAGCACTCAGAAGTTCTCTTGATCTTATATAATAATAATTATAAATAATATATAATACTAAAATATCCTTGAGTCATCTGGAACAAGCTAATCTTATATACAACAGGTGATGCTCAGAAATGTAAATCGTCTATCATGCTGCAGCTGAATGTTACTGTTGTGAACAAGAAGGATTGAAAGATATCTGGTTATGATCCAGGTGATTTACATGATTTGCATTGTCACAGAGCCCATTTGGTAGCACTGTTGCCTCACGCCTCCGGCATTGGAGATCTGAATCTTTCCTTTGCTCTGTGAATGTGGAGCTTAATGTTCTCACAGTATTGCACCATGACCTCCTCCCAATATTATAGAAGATAGAGAGATTAAAACAGTTATATGATGTTAAACACAGTGAGTACTTCCTTATAAAAGGTTTTCATATAATGTTTATTTAATGTATTCAAATAATCATTTAGTTTGCAGTGTACTTAAAGTTGACATAGAATACACAAAAACACATTTTACTTCAAGGTATGCATTTGTACTTTGTTTTCTGAACTTACGGTACATAATGTATCTACAGTATTCTTGTTTTGTTTCAAATGGAAAAAAAAATCTAAAACAATTACAAATCATTACCTGTATAACTTAACTGAATATATAATAGAAACTCATCTTTTCAAATCTCGTCAGGAAGCTTCAACCACACAAACAAAATCTTGTACGCATGGATTTTTGTGGACTCCCTGAGAATTTTAAATGTACTGTTAGGTTTTTATGAAGTCAGCTAGGTTAGTCTTTTTGTGTTTCTTAACCCTTGACACAGAATGTAATGGTTACCCTTACAAGAGACAAGGGAGAGTTATTTTATACCGCATGTTATATCTCAAGACAGCACTCAGTGTTTAATGTCTTCTTTGAAACAGCTGGTTACTATCAAACAGCCACATGCAACCTATATTACATTCAATCTTGTCAGATTTTGACAGTTACAGGTGACTTGTTATTGCTATGTTGAAGCCATAACCAGAATCATACTAGTCTTTAATTGCACAGATGTGTGTGATGTCGGGTAGCACATGAGGGCAGGAAGAGATTGCTGCATCAGAAATTGTCGCCTTAATTTGCATTTCCCATTTAAGCTATGAGGAATCATTTGATTCCTTTATACTTTTAATGAAATTTCCTGAATATTTCATTGTACACATTTCAGTAGAAGCAAAATCATTTTATTGTATAGTAATGGATAGGAAAAGACCAATAAACATTCTTGTTTATATATCTACTGTATAGTGGTACTAATTTGCAGATGAATCTGGAGAGATCATAATTTATGAGAAACTATGATATTCTCTATGTATAATTTGATGTTTAGAGTGATGGAAACCTGCAATGCCTGCACTAACTTTGGTTATTCCTCCCAACAGACTACTTGTGAGTCCCAAAAATTTTAGCTGCTATATCACTTAGGATGCAATCTGTGACTGCAAAGCACTTTGTGTATGGGACTGTGTGTATGAAAGCTTATCTTGCCTCATGCCATACACTTCCAGGCCATGTACTTCCAAAATATGTGTTTGGGTAGATGGTTATTTGAGCGACTAGCAATAGATTTCCCATAAATCACTGTGAAGTCTGCATCAATATTCGTCTAACTAAATATTTTACGTCTGGGGTTTATGAAGATTTTATTGTGCTGCTTTACTGTGTGCATGCACTAGTGTATATAAATATGTATAGCTGTAATAGGTAAATACTATATAGAGACTGTGTGTGTTCGTGTGTGTGTGTGTGTGTATAAGCAGGTTGAAGGTGAAAAACAAGCTATTGCTATGTTTTATAATAGTCAGAGAAATATTTCATGTGGATGACATTCCTGATGGAATATACTTGTGAAAATTGATGTATTTGTTTAAATGCAGTGCACAGTTTCCAGAGGCTGATTGTAAAGGTCTGAACAATAGACATATACTGTAGAGCTGATTGCTTAAGCAACCTATGAGATAACATATAGCATGTTACTTTGAGTTGTTTTATTTTAATGAACCAGATCTAAAGCTGATTTTATGACAAGCAATAAATTGTTATCAAAAGTACCTGATACATTCTTATTCCCTTCATGACTAATTGGCCTCTCATCAAGACTTTAATAGGCTAAATTGTGTGTGCTAAAAAGAACAGCCATTAATCCATCCATGCCTTTTCCATAACTGCTTATCCCGAGTATAGTCACAGTTAGACTGGAGCCTATCCAAGAAAACACAGGGCACAAGATTGAGGATACTGAGATCAGTCCTCTGCAGGAACACAGTCACTCACATAATGACATACTAACAGCACTTTAGATACATCAATCCAAACAGACAAATCAAGTATGTGTAATGAAGCAGGAATGATTAACAAATACCCGCTAAAAGTACAAATGACCCTAGGCATTTTGTACCAGAATCGGCAAATTGCTATTTTCCATTTTTAGCCGACAGTTATTTTTGCCTTTCCGCATTTTAAAATGCCAGCACTATTGTTCCTAAAACAAAGGACATTAACGTCAATTTTATGTGCACCATATTCTTCCCATGCAAATGGTATACTTCAACTATCCAATGATTGTCAATAGTGGTAATATGAAGTACCCTCCAGTACTACTGCTGATTTTTGTGAATAAACAGTTAGTGGTGTGAACAGTTTTCCTGTAATGCGAATTGGTTTATTTTATTTTATTAAAAATATTTCAGCTCCCACTTTCAGGTCAAGCCATGTTCCAGTGCTTAAAGCTAAATGAATTGTATTGCCTTCTTTAAACTCCAGTTTGTTGTCTTAGTATGTTCCATAATAACCGTTACTGTTCAATCAATTTGTCCAAGATTAGCTCACTGAAGCATTAGAGTGTATGCTATGCTAATGTATTAGCAGCAAGTGAAAAAAAGGAATGCAAAACAGATCATAATACATACTGTATAGGGTTGTTGGGTGGAATCCCTCTACTGTATTTTTTCTCTCTGGGTGGTGTGGATTTCTTTCATAGTTCAAAGGCATGCAATTATGTTGAATGGCATTTAAAAATTTTCCATGGTGTGTTGCCTTGTGCTTGTCTGTGAGTCCTGTGATGAACTGGCATTCCACCCAGTCTATGTTGCCATGTGGAATAGGCTCCAGGCCCCAGCGACCCTATACTGCAATTAAAAGATGATGGATGCATGCGTTGTAGTACATTACAAATTGGAAAATATTAATTATTCAAAGAGCAACAGGTTACATTTGCAAATGCTGCCAGGTTATGCATTGTGCAAATTACTTAATACGTTTCATTCAAAGTGACTTTTGGGTAGGTGCCTGTACTTGGCCATAACATTGTTGCTACTCTCAGATAACAA